ACATACATACATACATACATACATACATACATACATACATACATACATACATACATACATGCATACATAGAAGTATACATAAATAATTTCATACATGCAGTTAGAGAGACACTCATAAGTACATGCATTTATTCATACATACATATATTCCTACCTATCTACATAAATTCATGCATGTATATTTATACACACATATATACTTGCATAAATACATGCATACATAGATACATGTATACCTACATACCTAAAAGCACTTATAGAGGCATTCATATATGCATGCAGGCATAGATGCATACATACATACTTACTCACACAGGTGCACACTTCTTCGCATACAGCCATTTAAACACGGACAACAAGAGTTTTTCAGGTCGCAAGTGTGCGCAAGGACAAGTTTTAGGATGCGCCTCTTGCTCTGGCGCTGTCTGAGATACCATCAACGCGAGCTAGCCTCTCTCCTTCTCTAGTCTGGAGACGGCGGAGGTCCAACGTGCCAGAGATCAACATCAGACGTGCCTCCAATACGCATCAGCAACAGAATTCGTTACTGCTGGGGCATGTGTGGGCTGAATGTTCGTCCAGGAGAGCACCGGCTGCCAACCCGGTCTAGTCTGTGCCGCAGGCAGTGGCGGGAGAATTGTCAGGCTCCATGCAGTCCTTGGATCTCGACACAAACCGCCAAAGAGGCGAAATCCGGAGGTGCAGAGGAGCAACTGGGACCGGCTAGTCAATCCTTGTTCTTCAAATTCCGATATCTTCTCAACTTTCTTCTGCGAAAAGGATACCGAGACCGGAGGGCTTGGCTCAGAAATTAACACTTTTGTCCCTCTACACAGCACCCCTTTTTCACGCATAATCCAACAACCCAAACAATCACACTTTCCAAAAAAGAGTCGTTTTTTGGGCTATCCACCAACCTTGGACATCAACTTAGCCAGCCGAGGCTGCTTAAGGACTGAAAGTCGGGTTTTTTCCACAATGAAATGAGTAGCCGTCACGATACCATTGGATTTCACATGGCCTTGCCTCACAAAAGCCTATTTCATCCAGGCTTGACCACACACTCGGCGGGACTTGAACCCGTGACTATCGAGTGCAACGTGGCGACGTTCACTGCTCCCCTACACTGAGTCTCAGGGCAAACCAGGCCTGCCGCAACTCACAATTGTAGGGTGGGATATTCGGTGATGCAAACAGCATCTGCCATTTAAATCGACCACGTTACTTAATTTTGAAATGAGTAGCATTCGTTGCTATAATTAAATTTTGAATAAAAATTCAGTTACATTTGCTTAGTTTGGGATAAATAGTTGATTTTTCCCAACAACTAAATGCACAGGCCCTACGGCATTCACATTATAGAAGTTTCGACGCGTTACGTCGTGGATGAGAAGCAGGCTGAGGGTTGTGGCCTGAAGAGGCACCAATCAGCCATATCGCAGATTGGGACTCGATTTGCGACTTTAAAGAGGCTGATCCAAATCTCCAAGCGACAAATAATGCTCGCTTTAGAAGACTTCAACGGCAAGAGGAGTATCCTCCCTTTGGTGTTGATGAGAGTTACCAGTTACAACTCGTGTACCATAAGATTAACAACGGATATAGTCAACATGAAATGAAGAAAAGGCGGGATTTTTTAGGTGAATTTCGCCATGTCATACCCCCAGCCAGGCCTCATCGCGGCATCACCAGCATCCCCGAAGAGAAGGCAGATGTTACTACAAAAAAATTGATTGAATCTGCAACCTGTTGCCAGCTTCAGAGCAAAATCTACTTTAAACTGGGTCATCAGTAGTATATTGAGTTTAATTACATTAAACCATTCCCTATACAATAGTGTAAGTTTTGCCTATCATGTAAACCAGTCTGCCTAGTGTCGTGTTTACCTCTCGCCCCGCATAACCACCGTTGGGAGGGTCGGTGACACGTGCCGTTGGAGGCACTCTGTAGCACAGTTGGAAATGAGGATTTCGCTTCGGCCTGGTCTGGATTACGACATCAGCCTCAATGACACCATCTCCGAATTGGGCTGAAAGAGGCTCATCTCCTCGTATATCTCATGCTAGCCTCATTATTCACAAGCCTTCATGGCATTTGGAGAAGATCTCCGGTTTGGTTCGACTCCCGTTTGACTGACTGTTGTGACCCCAGCGAGGGTGAAGGTGAAATCGAATCAGAGCTGAGGCAAAATGGTGAAGAAAGTTTCCTCCACATCTCTGCATGTAGACAACGGTTGTCATGACAACTTGATGGACTTCGGTCCACCTCATGCTGAGCCGTATTAGAGATAGAGGTTGATGCGCAAAATACCACTTGTGAGCTGACATTGTCTCACCACCACAAATACGTTCAACCGTACCCATACAGTCTACCATCGGAATCGGCGACATTGATAACCCCTGAAAATCGAGGACCAGCAATCTCTGCGGCCACTTTGAGCTTAGATGATCGAATTTGGATAAAAATGCACCATAGCAAGGAACAGTTGGGTTTCGGAGAATCTCTTGGCTTGCGATTAGTAGGCTCACTTCCATTTCGAGCAAAGGTGTTTGGTGAATATATTCGAGGCTCAATCTCACCAGAATACGTCAGCAAGTGCCTCTTAGCCAGTTCTATTCGATCAGCTGTACTCAGACATTCTTGTAGGCGCTGTTTCCGAGGCAATCTCGTTTATTTACGGTAAAAACGTGCCAAAATCTAGTTTGTAAATTTGACGAGCATAGTCAGAGCATGATAACATTCTTACATTAAATATACAAGCTAATGAGTCAAGAAAATGTACCGGCTTATCCTTAAACATAAAACTATGCTATATGATGAGTTTCTATGCTTATACTTATGATGGTGATGACGACGATGATGATAATGATAAGAACAAATATGTATATTGTGGTAATATCAAAAAATGACTCCCTACAGATAGAAATTATGCCTTTTGTCATTTTATAAATTGGTTTTCGAGACTACCGGTAGATAGGATACAACTGCTGTAGTCATGTTATTTCGTTTAAAGTGATGAATGACTGGCAGGTGAATTTTCCCACCATCGTATGAATAGGCCTCACGTCTCCAGTGGATTTCACATAGCCCAGACTGAAGTGGACTGTATTTTCAATCTCATCTGAACTGGTCTCATCAGCACCCTCGGCGGAACTCAAACCCGAGCCGTGATAATGCAACTTACAACCCTAACCACCACGCCAGACTTCCCTGAGTGCTCTTGAGTCACACGAGCAGAAGGGAATATCAACGAAACCTAGGCCCTGGCCATATCACACTTTCATGGTAGGATTTTCGACATAGCAAAGTTGTATCTGTTATGACAATTGACTGTATTACTTATTTTTAGTCTATAAATAGGTTTCGATATTACCTCTAGATCGTACATCTAAAATGTATTCGCGCTATTTCGTTTGAGTCCTTTATCACCTTCATTGGTTAACGTGTCAAGACTATCTGTTGCAACCCTACAACCCGGATTCAAGTATCGCTGGAAGGACTGATGAGAACTGGGCGAGATTGAAGCTGCAGTCCAGTCCAGCCTAGATGGAAATGACTTTCAAGAAGGATAGGAAATTCAATGGAAACTTGAGGCCTATTCCAATAATTTTGGGAAAATTCGACTACCAATGTTACTATGATCACTTTAAATGAAATTGGCTGAAAGCAATACTTAATCAAGATAGCACAACTGTCTAGCAGAAATCCGGTCAAGGTATGAGTCTCTCTTGTCTCTTTGAGGAGTTGTAGTCGACTGTTACAAGTGGCAAAGTTCGCTGACGATGCCGAATATATCAAGTCCACAGTTCGAAGCTGAAACTGATCATAACTACTCGGACAGCAGACTTCGGATGAGTTATTTTTATCTAGATCGCCATGACAACGCGAACAAGTTACAAAGACAAGAGTGAGCAACCTTTTTACAGGAAAAGGAGACCGCGACCAAAATAGAGGATACGCGATCTTGGTCATCATACCTTAGCTTGAGCCCTACCTTCATGCTCTGCTGGTGTGCATAACATGGCAGACGAAAGCTTAGAAGGGATGGATTTGGTCTCGAAGGAATGTACGCCAGTTATCAGTCCTTTAAAAAAATGGTATAACTCCATTTTATCAACTTTTTCGTGCTGTCACAGAGACTGAGATGAATCAACCTTGTCCCGAGTCCACCTCCAAAGTAGTTTTAATACTTTGCAGTGTCCGACCGTAGAATTGTTACATTCTCATTCCTTAGATCACCATATGCTACTTTAGACAACGCATTTTTTTATAGAAGAGCTCTATTCAACCTATTTCTTCAAAGGAGACAAATACCTTGTGATTGAATTTTTCCACAACCACATAAGCACTCACGGTGGGACTTCACTCGGGATTGTGTTAGTCCAGCCAACATCCTCGATATACCAGGTAACCTAAGCTTTTGACATAACACACTTTTGTGGTATCATCTACTGGTGGTCCCAAAAATCGACTTATGAAACGAAACATAATTAGTGTAGTCGATTGATATTGCAAACACAACTTTGCTTCAAAGTTGTTTAGAAGTTGTGTGACCTTGTTTTCGCAACTCGGTCATATTGGTAGGAAGACTCAGAGAAACGCACCTAGTCCGGAGTCCATTGTATGCATCAGCATTTCCAGAGTAGGACCGTGGACGTGGTACATTCTCAGACGTTTCATCGGCATCGTAGTCGGCATCATCAGTGAGTCTCGCCATTCTTAGCACCATAGTGCAGCTCGTCAAAGAGACAAGTGAG